ACGCACACCACCGAACTACCTAGTAAGTGGCTCAGGATTGTTAAAGTTAGTCCTACAGTCAAAAGGATAGCGCGGCTACTGGAAAGCTGATGCGTGTTTCGTTGGAAGCTGCTGTCTGAGCTTCGGCTAGAGGTAGCGATTGACTGGTACTAACAATGGTGGTACTAACAATATTTTACTGGTAATTAACTAGCTTTTGATGCTTCTTCGTTAACGTTCAGGGAAATGACATGACTTGCGGTTGGACAGCTTTAACGCTATGACTGTTCACGCGTTCTCACATTGCTATTTATCCGAACACGGTTCCATTTTTACAGACTCGACTCGAATTCGCATGCTCAATCCAACGGATTCGGAATCACCGCTTCATTCTCGTTACATCACTGTTCACCTCGCTACTGCATTTCGGGTAACAACTTTGGCAGAACTCACGCACACATTTCCTCGGTTTTTGTATGCACACCTAGTCTTTTATCATCACTCGAGCGTACGCTTCGCGGGCCTGCTAGTCTGCGCCAAGTAACTACGATCTGAAATTGTGTGAGGTAGCTGCGGCCAATTTTTGCAATCACCATCGTCCTTCCATCGGCCTCTGTGGATAAGTTATTAGCTTACGTTCAGCACCTGTGTCCTTGCAAGCCAAAGACTACGCTCACGACCGCGCCTCACAGCTGCTGGATCGATAGACGTTGTTCACACAAACTGTTCCATGGACGGTTCACTCCGAACTTGAAGGGGTAGGGACGAATCTGGATGGCTAATTAACACCCAGTTGCAAGCTTATTAGCACACAAAATTAAAACCGCTGCTTTTTGAGCATTCAGTGCCATACTGCGTAAAAATTTTAACGCATATACAATGATTTCGGTAAGGCGTTCGATAACCTATACCATGGGGTCCTGCTCCAGAAGCTGAAGATGTGTGGTGTTGGTGGCGCACTGCATCGGTGTATTAGTGAATTCCTTATTGAGAGATGGCGGGTTCAGGTGGATGACCATCTAACGAAATGGTACCCGTCCACTAGCGACGTACCCCAAGCCATAGTGTTGGGGTCCATTTTATTCCTGATCCACGGCAACGAAGTACCTCAACTTCGTCGGTCGCTGTGCGCATTATTTGCGGACAACCTGAAGATTTAGAGAATTTTTGATTCTCCCGACGACTGTGACGTCCTTCAGCAGGACCTCGACCGCCTATCCCGGTGGTCTGCAGAAGTTGACTTACCGGTCAACACGGCCAAGTCCTCGTTTATGCGCGTTGGGAGGGGTGGTAATGGGCGTGCGTACACCTTGGCCGGCCACCTGCTGCATCCGACCAGTTCCGTAAAGGATCTGGGCGTGCTTTCACTCTGTTATCTGTCGACAACACGAACAGACTGTACATCAAAGGACTACGCCTGCTCTAGACACTTAGACGCAACTTCTGCACTTGGTCTGAAAAGATTGCTACCCGTCTGTTCTCTTCCATAGTAAGACCGGTGCTTGAGTACGACTCACCCACTTATTGTCCGCTCGCAATAAGTGAGGTGCAGAGACTAGAACGGGTCCAGCATGTGGCTACCCGGCTCATTCATGTTTACGGACTGTCGTACGGGGAACGATATAGGAGACTAGGGCTGCATACCATATCATATCGTCGGCTTCTAGTTGATCTCATAATGACGCACTGGTTATTGTGTATGGGCCACTTCCCTATGTTGAGGCCTCTGCTGCGTGTTCGCGCACCAGACAGCACATACTGACACCGGTACAAACTGGCGGTACCTTATTTGAAGTGTATCGCTCACCTTCTATGCCTCGACCGGTGAAATATTGGAGAAAGTTGTCGGAGACAGTAGTCAAGGTGAAATCGGTCTCAGAATTTAAGAGATTCCTCGACGCTCACTTTGCGGATTACAGGAACTGGGAGCGTATCGCACACGGGTAAGATATAGTACAACGGTAATGTGCTGCCACCGCGCATGAATCAGCGAACTGCTTCCGCGCATGTGCTGGATCCATCTACGATGGATCAACACACATTTTTATCTTTTCGCTATCCTCAGTATTCACTGTTCAACTAATAACTCAGTTTTAAATCTTTAAGTGTGCGCACTGAAATGGCTGCTAACTCCACTAAAACTAAGATGTTATAGCTAAAAAAAACAATAATCGGTAACATTCTGCAGTATGTCACTAAAACGAAAGCGATTCTGCAAGGACGACGAATAAACACGGTGGTAGTAACGATTTACTACCCGTAATGCATAACCGCAGCACTGCTCTTGGAGAAAACGTTTTCCCACCGAAAACCGAACTGCTGTGCTTTGGCGCAAAATACGATCACTTTCTGTCTTCTGCTGGCTCTACTTTATCCTTAATCACAACTGAGACTCAAGAACGTTTATGCAAATCAAAATGTGTGATTGTGATCATCACAGCCGATTTATTGACTTTAGCAAAGTCGAAGAACTTTTGCCTGTGGCATGCAATGGGAGTTTCTATAACTGTCTACGTTTCAGGCCTCAGAAGAATACGACAATAAATCATGCCCTATTCTCATTAAATTCATAGGTGAGGCAGCGTCTGAACATTTTGTGCATAGCAAACGGCTCATCACTGTACGAACTGACATTAAGAATGTTCTGATTAGAACCGACAAAACGTAGTGCAAAGGCGGCTTGCACGTAAGATCAATTATTCAGACGCTCATATTTCTCACACACCGATCGGTTCGACAGCTATGTGGACCTTGAGGGATCACCAAGACCGCCCTTATTTAAAAATGGTCACCAGCACCTAGCCCATCAACCCACCAACGAGGTATCACTACGCCAAAATGCTGATGATAATGTTCGGGCGGTTCACTCAATAGAGCCACTAGAACCTTACAGAGCGGAGCCCAATTTTTGCATTGCGGCACACCCCCGCACCCATGATTACGCAAAGTATGATATAACCGAATCTGTACATCCCACCTCTTTCTTTTCCCCTAATTCCACCATTTTTACTATTCGCTCGCTTCTACCCAAATTTGATTTTCTTACAACATGTATTTTCCCTAAAACCTCACACTGTTTGTATCATTGAAGCATGGTGCACAGTATACATGTAGCTTTCATTTGAATGTTCTTGCTTATCGGTTGTTTCGGAAAGATCGTCTGTGCAAACGCCATTGTGCTTGTGCCATTTACCTGCGCCATGGCATAACTGCAATCTCAGCTGACCAGCTAGCCTTTAGTGATTTGGATGACTTATTATGGATGCGAATTCCGGCCGATGATCATCTAACTGGTTGCATTTATAGAACTACTATTGATGCCACTCTCCCTGGATCTCAGCAATTAATGTCGGCGATTAGTGCTGCTTTTAGCACTGCATAGAAGTACAAATTCATTTGTGGAGATTTTAATCTGGCAAATATTAGCTGGATGTCACATAGGTTTACAACAACTGGATGACTTGCGGAAAAGTAGTCCAATGTGTTTGTATCAATGGTTGGACCCAACACGTTAGGCAGCCCATCAGGTTAGATAACATCCTGGATCTGGTTCTCGCCATAAATATTCTATCTGTTTACGTTTACTTGATCACCCATTCAAAGGATGTGACCATAATACAGTGTACTGCAGCGTGAATATTAGGCTACCTGGAAACTCCATAGTGATAAGAAAGCGTGTATGCCAACTACATTTTATTGATTGGAGCACATTTGACAAGCTGCTTAGGACCACGTATTTGGACCGGCTCTTCTTCACAGCCGATTTGGCCATAGCTGCAGGCGAATTCGCTCAAAATACCATCACATATACAGACATACTAGCGCCTACGAAGAGGGTATACACAGACCTTTTCGATGACTGATCCAACCACTTTTCCAAGGCCGCTTCCAAGCTTAATAATTTGAGGTTAGTGCACCGCAGGAACAAAGACATCACCACATTTATTCAAATACACGAAACGTCACTGAGACTTGAACACCAAACTCAACAGTCTAGAATTGCCGAAGTAACCGGGGCACAGTTGAGAAATACTGCTTTATTATTTCCGGCGGGCAACACATTATTTTCATCTGCTTTACCAGTTATGGTCTCAGTGATCGAATTGGTCAAATTTCACTTTGATGCAAATCGCGGTCTACATTGGGATGGCGTGGCGCAACCCATTTACACAACAACTGCATCAACTTGACTGTTGCAAACTGTCATTAACCTCTGTGACAAACATTGCTCGCCGTACCTCGGTGTCTTATGGGTAAAGGTTTCAGCCAGAATCTCTAATAAGTTCAAAGCCGGTCTTGGAGTTCAGCGCCTTTATATAACTGTTGCTGTCAATGATAAAGTGTTGCGGCCAGGTGCAGCAGTTTACTCCTCCTATGTTTTGGTGCTGTCGGATTTACCATCAAACTAATGCAGAGCATGAGTAAAATGAGCCTTTATTTTTTTATAAAACCATGCAGTAATTTCTCTTGATAGAGTCCTCCAGACTAAAGTTAAGTCAAACGGGTGAGCGATTAAATCCACGGGCTCCAGGAAGCAGGATGTGCCATGCTGGTTTCCGAACACCAAACACCTGGATCTCCCGTACTTCCTTTCGGCTCATTTTGTATGAATGCTGAGTTATTAAACATTTAAGTGTGCGTCTGTTGTTTTAAAGTGTTAGGTAGTTCTGTCACTCAGTTATACGTTCATCACACAAACAAGAAAGAGTTAGAGTTCCGTTTTGTACTATTGACAATCATGCGCATTTCCCTCGAACCATTCAGGACTCGAATTCAGGCTCATAAAGGGGAAATCAAGTCGCGCTGATGATGGTGTCCGTACGCGACTGTATTATTATTTGGAACAAATCACCTCTTGCATCTACACTGCGTAGATGAGCTCGGGGCCCTTCTGTTGTTCATTACCCCATCATCATAAGAATTTCGTTAGCCTTCGGTGACCGCATAGCTAGCCAAGCTTGTATCGGTGAGAGCACATTGCTCTGAGTTCCTTGTACCAGACAAAATGGATGCGAATTATTGTATGCACATGTGAAATGAAGCAAAATATAGATACAAATATATTGTGTACAGGTGCAGTGCGTTAATATTGACCTCCGCTGTCACCCAATCAGTGCAGAGTTGTTAGCTCGCAGCCCTCACCCAGCGTTCATTTCTCCATAAACGATTTCCTTGAATTTTAAGGCCTTTAGTTCACATCCAGTTGAGCGTCATAGCACTGAAATGGTTCCGCTGAAGTTTGGGAGAGGAATAAGAAGCGATTTATTCAGTATTTATTCTCTTCCGTGGTTTATTGATCCAAATCTGCTGCGCCTCATTCCACTCCCAACTATAACAACGCTCACAGTTCTCATTTAGTATTTCACTCACTTGGTTGTCTGTTTTCGTTCATATTTCCGATACACTGTGCCATCATCATGCGCTCAAGCAATGCTCCATTCAATCTACATTTGCACCACAAATCTTTGTTGTTTTCTCGGTGACCTAGTTCATCCGATGTTGACCATCCTTCAGGAAGAATTCGCTCGCAATGAGGTCGATTAATTAGGGACACACCACTTGAGTATTTTCCAGAGCATCAATCAGCTTCGCTACATAAGATAGCCCACATACACCTATTTCACAAATCCCTGCTACTAACATGCAAAAACCGCAGCGAACATCTCACCTTAAGACGCCACTCTTATCTTTCCGCTACATGTTGCCGTTTCGATATAAGGCACTTGGCGATTCATTCATCCAGCACTGTGAGTACAACATACATTTAAATCAAGTACAAATTAATGCTTTACTCGGACACGACGTGGAAGTCATCAATGCTTTGATGACTTTGTATGAATCTTTTCAGCGCGTCTGTACAACGGAAGCTGATTTATCGATTCGCTTGATTACCCCAAAACTCGGACACTTCTGTTCACAGAGTTACGTTTAACGAAGTGCGGGGAGATTTCGCATACGTTACCTGATGAGCGCACAATAGAAAATTTAGCAAAATAGGCACTTTTGTTACCAGAGCTTGCTGCAACCGAAAGTGTTACCTTCACCTGATACTGAAATGGTTTGAGATTATCTAAAACAAAGTTTATGTGCATACTTATCAACTAACCGAAACTATTGCTGGGTATCCCCGTCGTCAGTGATTGAAATGGGCACCGAAATTCTGGTGTTCCTCGTGTTCGGCTTATGGCAGAGTTTTCCATGATCGCGTATTTATGACAAATCGATCCCGGCCAGTGATGCTCCGCCGATGGATTAGCGTGGATACCAAAACCAATTGTATCCATTTGCCTGTCGTCCAAGTTGGTATAGGTGGGCGAGTAAGCGGTCCTTGACTGCTCTCTGATAGGGCAAGCGCTAGGGAATCCTGTTTGTCTAACGCACGTTTGGATGTCTGGACGTATGAAATGTTCGTTGGTTACTGTCACACAAACCGTTGCCGGACTGGACTGCATGGACCTATCGAAAGTCGTTCTGTACAGACGCCCATCGCTTTTTTTGTCACATGGGAATAATGATGTTCCCTGCAGGAAGGGGATAGGTGCTGGAGGTGGATCTAACGGAATCGATCGCAAAGCCTCATTGTGGTTTTGCATTGGAATCTCGGAGGTGCTGTATTCGTCGAATTGGTTTGCATTGGATTCTAGCGAGGCGTAACTCTCAGAAGTTATCGCTTCCTTTGGCTGTTGCATTCTGGTAACAGAAGACCGATTTAACTCAGTCCTTATGTTCCCATACTCCATATAGCCGTTGAGAATGTGCCCTGGACTCCGCTCGTTGTTGCCGGTCAAATCTGTGGTTTGCTCAGTGGTGTCCGCGTTTATCGTGCTGGATTTCATTGAGTCATTCAGTTGTTTCACTCGCCTGTTATCTGTATAAGCCAGAAGATTTCGTTTGTCATGGTTGTGCTAAAATCTTCAAGGCATTGTATTACGTAATATGTCCTATTACATAGTTTTAGTTGCAACGTTTTCTAACGCTTATCGGATCATGAGAATGTCACCTACATTGGTGGAGCAACATCTGCACGGTGAACAAGTCAACGTCCCAGCACCATACCTGAGGTGCCAAGACTTCGAGTGAACACAGTCACCAGTGAGTTGGCAGTTTTGGATCCGCACCTTACTCCGCCTCATTATGAGCAACTCCTGTCAGCCGTTATCGTTGTTGAGGTCTCTAGCTTTAATCTCCCATCTGATTCGGCTAATGGTTTAATCACAGTGAGCCTACTGAGCTGTCCATCGCAGTGAATGGCCCAACGTTCAAACCGACGTGACTAAGTGTGTATCGACTCATCATCTCCCGAAGCGCCTTATCGTTCACAGCATTTATTATTGGATCGCTGCCTTGGCCGAATTGGAACGGTCTTCGATTGTTCATGTAGGCACTTATTTCCAAGTCCCACTGAAGTTGGCTGTTCTTCAGCGGGTGCTGAACCGTGCTGATCCTGTCAACTGGAAACCGTTTCACTAGTTTACGTGCACTGCAAAATGGACTTCTCGGTGGAACTGTCTTTCATTTTCCAGTCAAACTAACCAAAGCTGCATAGTTTCCCCCACTCTCATCACATATGTCATCACAGCGTTGTTCGGGGTGGGGGCGAATTTGCTTCAACTTCTGCTGCACTTCAGTCCATTCCAACCAGACAACTGCTATCAGGCTACTGAAGCGCAGTGGGTCCAGTTGCGTCACCAGATGATGGTTATTAATGGTGACAAAGAGAATGAGGCACAACACCAGGAAAATGCAACAGAAGTGATTAAGAAGAAGGTGGAGAGAATTAATCTGGATGGAATATTGCCAAATTGATGCAGGAAACTCACTAGCTGCGCTATCTTAATACCTCCAAACTGATGTGACCCATTCCATTGTATCTGCCTAAAATGAAGGTATGTACCAGCTTAACCAAATGGCTTGGCCAATCACTTCATATTTCAAAAAATCTCCGGCTGGTCCTCTTGTAGCTTCGTCCATTTTGGCGCAGCGTCAGTGTATGATGCACGCCGACGACGGTTGTCAACGTGCTCACGGGTGACATGGCCTAAGCAAAATAGGCACTTCAAGTCTGGGGATGCACCACAATTCTCCTTGCCAAACACCATTAAGCGGATCTCGGTATTGCTGACGCAGTATTCCCACCAGATGTGGACAACATTCCGCAGGCATCTATGACTATAGACAGTGTTTTAGCGTCTTTAACACGAAATGGCTATGTTTTTAATTCATGCAGTAACCGATATTTTTGCAGCGTTTAACACTTTATAAATGAGTGACAGGTTGGCATCCTATTTTCTCCGTAAATGATTAAGCCGCTGAAAAGCAATGCGGATCTTATTGATACTTAAACTAGCCTCCTCAGTGATATGGTCACCAGAGGTGATGCAACTACCAAGGTAAGTGAAGCAGTTGACAACTTTCTGTAGTTGTCCACTGCTAGAAAGGACCGACGGCATGTCGTCCCCCTCCTGCAACAGCACCTCAAAGGGGTGCGGCATATGGTGCTATCAGCCTATTCATTGTCGCTCCCATAGCCTCGTACGCCGATCCAAGAAGAGCTATGTCTTCCTCTTCCTCCAAATTTGTGGTCGGCACCCGACAGCAACTCCACTCCAGTTAGGTATGACCATTTCGACCACAATGTTGTAGCGAGAGATATAGGACAATCTTGGTACACCAAGCTTTTAGTGGGGAGATCAGATGTTTGCGTCTCGTAGATCATTACTTGGCCCTGCGAGTTTCGGTAAAGAGATTTTAATGTGGAAGGTAGTTTTTCTGGCATCCAGTTAACGGATAGATAGTACCGCAACTGGTACAGTCGATAGAGTCGAAGGTGGCTTTCAAGTCGTAAACCACCATTGTTTGTAGTCGTTACGCTTGCTTCTACTCCAACACTTGACAAGAAGTAGACACGTAGTGTGAAAACGGCTACCACGGTGGCTATCAGTGAATCGGCTTTCAAGAGGGCCGGTGAGTGGTCGCAAAACGATACCTTGGAAGTTTAAATCCGTTGATAATTAAGTGAATAAGTCGGCGAAATTTCTGTGCAGAGTCGTACGTCTTATTTTAAATGAGAGTTAACAGTTGACATTCACCGGCCTGCACACACCTATTCAGAGTCGCAACTGCTGTTGGAAAGATAGGAGAAGCAAGCCACCAATGACTCACCTCCATCTTTCACCAGATATGGAGGATGAGTGTCTGGTTCCGTAGCTCTACTTTACTTCAACGCAGCAGTGCCAAGTGAAACTTTACTTTCCATGTGGGTTCAGGTGGTGCTGGCAACGGCAGCGCCGTAGCAAGCCTTCTGAATTACTCCTTAACGTGCTCCTTTTTAACACACTAATGGACACGGTCAAGAACGCACCAGCTACCTATCTTGCCTATTGTCTCATTAGCCGTTGGTTTTCTTGAATCGTCGTTTCCAAAGCTCTGAGTAAGTCGACATTTCATGGTGCTCCAGACATGCGAGAACAATTGTTTGGGTGCCTCGAGCAAACTCATCGGACTTCCCCCTACAATCTGTGCGCATTTACTGGCACTCACTTCCCGTATGCAAAGCTATTTGATCCAGTGGTAATAAGCAAGGAAACTTTAGCATGTATCACTACCGTAACTTACCTTCAATGCACTGTACTTCTGATTGTGCCAGGTCACTTCCGTTCGATAATGGTTGTACCTAGAGTGTATCAATCGAAATGTATAAGAGTGGGCCAGAATAATGGTTGAGCTGCATAGACGCTCGCCCATTCTATCGTTTTATCAATAATGACTTGCCAATGATTGTTGTGTTACTCATAAGTAGTCCAATGTCGTTGAATTTTCCCACCATTGTACAACGAAATTGTGACGGGAGTAGCCTAAGCTAAGCTTTGGTTCCAGCAATGACACACTGTAAATCCACTTTAAGAATCTAGTCGTTTCAAGGGCAGACAATTCATCGCTAGCTCCTGTGGACTTAAGTGTGTTGGGTGAGTTGTGTTTTTCAGTGCGCACACTTGCAGATGCACTGGAATGGCTCCTAGAACCCAATGGTATGCTTGCGGAGCTGTGTGGACCGGATGTGCTCCCAACCTTGGCTCGTGGCGAGTTGTGAGATACCTACACAGCTGCTATCGAACAGTTCGATCCATGCGCATACGTCATGTTTAGGCTCTCTTTCTTCTCCCATATGCTCGTCTCCATTTTTTCTTTTACCATTTACTCGGCCACAACTAATCAGTGAAAACATAAAACTTCCACCATTTCGTGTGAATTTGAAACTACAGTGGCGTTCATTATGTGAATGCTTCTTTTGGGTAACTTGAGAAAGTGAATCAGTAATGCCCTGAAAGGCTGTACCTAATCTGTGCTGTCACTCAACTTGTAGCTACATGTTGGCTGGGATATTACGGGGTCACCCGGATCGCTGCTCCTTGTATTACAAACCAGACCTTTTAACCGCCCCGCCACTTACCGGACCTGCCCAGATACGTTTTAACAGTCGACTATTTGAGGAATTGCTTTCATTACACCGCTCGCAACATAGCGGCTCGTCTAATTTATTTGTGGTCCGTAAAATCGACTGTTATACAGTGTGAATATTTCTTCATATAGGGATACAGACCATAGTTACCATCAGTAGAAACCAAGTTGTTCAGATGTTGAGAACAGCCAGAGTGAGATCTTCATGTGAAAGGCTAGTGCCAGCAGTGAAATCGCCATAGCTTGTTAGCGGCAGCTCGGGAATCGGTATTTGTTTGTAATAGAAAAAGGCATCAGCAATACCCTGGCACACCGTACCGACGTTTCGGTGCCACGCGACCACCAACAGTCGCGCGAGGTCGTTCGCAGCCGTGCGGATTCGAATCGCGGATTTCATCGCAGCTGCATTATCCTTTCGACCAACGGCGAGTGTAAAAAGTGATGGTACTTGTGTGTTTGGAAGAATATCGACACCAAAACGGCTGCAACACTCGTTATTGCCATCCGATCACCTATGCAATTACTAATCAGGTCTAAAGCTGCTTCGGTAATCCTGCAAGATCCACTGTTTTCAGCGTGGTATGGACGTGATCATTGCAGTTAAAGCTTATTATTCATGGGTCGGGCTAATCTTGGTATACTGTGCAATGGTTATCTAATGCTACTGGTAACTACTTGGAAGAATTCTGAGGTAATCCATTGTGATGTATAAGTGTCATCCTTTTGTTATGCTCTTCTCCAGGGGCTAACTAAAGATCGTAGTGATCAATTAGTAAAACATTAAAGCTCCATTAAACAAATGCAGACCCCGATGACTACGAGGTCTATCACTCAACTCATAACGGCAGGGCCAAAGTGTATGCTTTGAAGAGGGCAGTCCGCAGAGCTTCGTTTTCTGTTTTGTGCTTGCCCATTAGTAACTATGTACTCCATCGATATCCAGGAAAATACGAACCAAACGTAGTAAACAGATTAGACGTAATTTCTGCTCCTACTAGGTCCTTTACCGAAGATATTTCTTGTTCCCCTAGGAGCCGTAGTACGTAAATAAATCTATATCTTCAGAAGCATGGTAAATATTTTTATACTTGTCTGCTGCTTAGCGCCCGATGTACCTAGTGTTAAGTCTGGTGGGATGTACACACCATGTTAACCAGCTGGTGGCTACTGTGTATAATGGGTTCGTCACTGGTGTGAAATCTTACATAACTCGCCACCATTGACAATAATTATGGTTTCTGCTCAATATTTTTATGGATTCGATTTTCTAGTGTGATTTTGGATGCAAATACATAAAATTGCTTCTTATCCCCAGTAAATGTTGGTGGGGTGTTGCCATTTCTTCAAATGCTATTTGTTCTTTCAGAAGCGAAACCAATATTCCACAGCATCTTCAAATGAACTAGCATCTCGGAACACACGTTTTGTTCCGGCTGGTGAGCTATAAGTATTCACGTAATTAACTAGACTGATATCATATCAAAACAATCTAGATGGATAAGTTGTCCATCAACGTTTTCCGGTTTTGGTTTAACCGTCAGATCAGTGTTATCTGCGTAAACAGTGTTGCTGCTCGACATCTTTCCGTGGAACGAATACCTATGGTTTGTTCTGCGATTGTACTCAAATTCAACCCGTGATTCGTTTAATCGGAGTAGATGAAAATGTATGAAGGTAAACTCACATACTCCAATGAGGTAGGCAGGGTAACTGAAACGAATCAAAACAAATATTGATTTAGACGAATTATTTCAAGTACGAACTTGGTAGCTGAACATATCCAACAGGTTCCGTGAGTGAGATACCATTTTCTCACACGCATGGTGTGCGATTTTTACTCATGAGTTTCGTAACAACAAATTTGGCATAAATTAACAGAGTTTGATGGGAGTTCCGGTTGCGACTCATGAGTGCTCACCTTTCTTGACATACCCACAAAAGCGGCCATTAGATCACTGCCTATTTAAAGCTAGTAGACAATGGATACGTCACCTAAATTTCATCTTTTAGCATCAATGTGCTTCCTGCATTCCGTCACTGGGATTTACTCTGTAATAATGTGAATTGGTAATGAACTGTCCAATCTTGTCTGCGTCAGTTGCATCCGATTTACAAGGAAGGAAGTGTGCAACTTATTGCCCCGCAACAGCCGAAACAAACGGAGCAGAAAGAAATGTTGTTGCGCAGGTGTCTGGTGGCTTCGATGTAGCAACCCCGGTTCCGTTATACTCTCTCTCTCTCTCTCTCTCTCGGAGTAATCATGTCATTCGCCTGTGCAACAAATAGTTGCTTACTCCGATCAGGTTCTTGACCTCGACTACTTTATGGTTAGTGTGCATTTATTGTTTATCAAAACCTGTAGCATCGTAAATCCGACTACTCTGCTTATTTATGAAATTTATCACCTTGGCTAAATTGTTCCCCCTTTGGATTTTTCCTACATGAATACTGAACATTTTTGACGCACTGGCATTCTGCCCGAACTCTTTCGTTGCATCTCAAATCATGGACTACCTTCACTGCATTTTATCTCTATGCTGAACTGGTAACCTGCACATATGCCATGATGTATGCGAGCGAGGGTGCAGCCGAGTGGAGAGACCTCGGATGACTTTACACTTATCTCTCATGTGAAGCAAGGCTGTGTCTTAGCTCTTGCCCTGTTTAATATATATCTTCATGCAATGATGTCTTGTGCTTTCGATGCCGTTTGTGCTTCCGATGTTCATGTGGAGCACCGTATTGCTGGTGGGTTGCTGAACATCCGTCGTTTTAATGCGAGAACTCTAGTCTGTGAGACAACTATCAGTATATTGCTGTTTGCTGACGACTGCGCGTTGTTTGCATCCAGCGCGGATGAGTTTCAGCACACGACTAGGGCTCTGGCTTCGACAACGGCCAAATTCGGGCTCACCATCAACACAAGCAAAACTGTTTGTCTCTTTCAGCCTTCCCCGTAGGTGCAATCTACAATGCTTTCACGAATCAGCATTGGGGATGACGTATTGGGAAGGATCTCCCGCTTCTGCTATCTTGGGAGTGTGATGTCGACTGATCAGCAGCTTCACAGTGAGCTGCGTATTCGCGTCTCGAAGGCAGCGGCGGCATTCGGGAAGCTAGAGTAGCGAGTGTGGAACAACCATCAATTTCCCATTGACATGAAGTTGATGGTGTACAAATCCATAATGCTATTCGTTCTTCTATACGGCAGTGAAACGTGGACGATGTACCGTCGGAATGTGCGATATCTCGAGCGGTTCCATTAGCAGTGTTTGCGACGGATTTTGCGCATCAGTTGGGGCGACAGAGTTGCTGACGCGGAAGTGTTGCGACAAAGTGGGATGTATGCAGTGGACTGCATACTTTTTCTAAGACTCTTGAGGTGGCTCGGTCATGTGTGGCGTATGGATTCGACGCGGATACCGAAACAACTTTTATACGGTCAGCTGAGTATTGGGAAGCGGCATATGGGGAAACCACAGCTACGTTATCAGGACGTGATCAAAGTGAGCCACACACGTTCTAATCTTGATTGCAGGTCATAGGGATTGAAGGCGGTTGATCGGCGTGCTTGGCGCGATCTAATCACGAAGGCAGTTGCCGAAGTGCAAGAGAAAGACCTCATATACACAGAGAAGAAGCCACAAGTGCGGAAGCGGCAAGCACCGATGGGTTGTACTCCATCGACATCGAGCACATGGTGCTGTAGCACATGCGGTCGCGAGTGCTTGAGTCAGTCCGGCCTAGTGAGCCATGAGCGAGGCCACTCGGGACTACTACCGAAGCGACGAGGGGTCCTGCAGAGAACGCAGGTAGAACCGGCGCAGCGTTTATAGGTACGCTGCATTCGATTTACTAACCTCGTGCTTACATGCTAAGTCCCTTTATTTCAGGTGGTGGGTTTGCAATTTTATCCTAATGCTTTTCTTTCTCATATAAATGTCTACCTGTACTCTCTTCTATAAAGTTGCACACGTCGCTTAAACGAATTGTAGTTACTTTCGTGTTTGTGGCATTTCCATAAAATATACTTTCTGACCTCGTGAACTTATCTCGGATTTTTTGGTATCAACTTATTTTATATGTTCATTAATTAAAGATTTGTGTCACCGTTTGCTTATACATTACTCGATTTATTTGCTTTATTATCTTTCAAGCGAATGGCTGTTGCTTGATCTCGCCGGTGTGACTGCGCTTGATGTGCTTGTTGATAAGGTGCCTACCTGTCTACTGCGCACTACCTCGTCCATACTGGCTCTAGGAGACAGTTGGTCGTTGCTGGAGGGAACGGGGAGCACGGTCCTTGTGACCGTGTTAGGATCAAAGCGTGGTTCCATGCACTCAGTGTGGAGCGGATTACGATCCAGCCACCGCCTTGTATGCGCCTGATTCCCAAATACAGCGTGCTTGTGTTTGTCTGTGATGGAGTGTGGGCCGGCTCCGTTGATGAAACGTGGCTCCCATCCACATGCTTCCCGGTCTTATTCCTTCGGGTTTACATTGGATATGGGGTGTGTGGTTGGAGCTGTGGGTGGTGCAGAGGAAGCCACCCATTGTCCCTCTGTAGACGCAGGCGTCCTGTGGCTTGCCACAGTGACAGACAAATCCGAAACCGGATGCTGCCAATCATGTGGCTATTACAGTTTATTTTCCTGTACGATCACTCTACTACCCACGATCCGGTAGCGTATGTACGCTGTTGTTCTGCTGCCGATTGTACTAACTCATTATTTCGTTTGAATACTACTCACATGCAGTTTGATCACAACTCAGGACAACTGAGTGGTTTTCTGCCACTTTCCGTCTCGTCTCAAAGGGTCATTGGTTTTCTTTTTTGTTATTAACAACCATTCTTATAGCGGGAGGCAACAACGTGGCTCTGATAGGCACTAGTACGGTAACGAAGTTAGTTGCTCAGTTAACAAAGTGTACAACGAAGCACCTTTCACAAGTTCATTTATTTTACTACTTTGTACGACCAGCACCTTCACAAGTATCAGATTGCTTCTGCGGATTTGCATTGTCAGTTAATACTTACGCGGTGTTGTTCAGTGGATACAACAATAAGACGTACAGTTCCGCTCAAGATCACTTTTGTAATTACAGTAAGTGAAGAGAATCGCTGAACAGGTGACCCACTTTATAATCTAATTAGGACAATCTTAAAAATGCCGACTTGAGCACCCGGCTTGTGATGCGTATGTCTCAGTTCTGTATTATGTAATGGATCATACTCACCCGACATCGAGTCTGTATGTTGCAGTTGGTTCAAATATCTGATCTCGGCTTGCGGAGCGAGTCTCCTTTTTGCGGTTTTGCTTTCAGGGTTCGCCTTTGTGCGGTGAGCAGTTGATATAAAGCGGCTGGCACTCAGCTTGCTTGTTCCAAACGGCTGTGCAGCCAGTGCTGGCGACGAAGAAACCTGTGAGGATGAGTTGTTCGATGGGCTTCTCTTCAATGGTGGCTGATGTGGCATGCAGTTAGGTGTTGAGATAGTCGTTTGCATCGAATGACAATCCAGTGAGGAAACGTAAGAGCATCGATGTACCTGATCGGTGGTCACTGATCCTTCCTGTTGTTGATGCCGATTTACTTCAGCTCTGCGTTCCCGATTGTGGTCAGATAAGTGTAAAAAAGGATTAGCGGGATGCATTGGGTGGTAGCCAAAATCCTTGAGACATTCAGTCGCCGCCATTGACAAACCCAAGAGCCCAGTGATACTGTAATCCGCTGCCATTGTTGTTGCAGAAGATCGGGTCAATTCACTGAGTGCAACTAGGTTGTTCAATGAAGGCCTCTGCTGAACAGCAGCATCCCCATGCTGAATTAGTCGGCTGAGTTCGCGGTCAGTGGACTTTCTAGGCTGGGCAATTTGTGAAGTTGTTCTATATTGGTATGGAGTCATTATGTATGGCAGTCCATCTAAGGCATCCTCCTTGTTGCTGCAAATGCCTGATACCATTGAAGTAACTGTATCATGTATCGACACAGGCCTGTTTGGGACACTGTCAAACGCGCTTCCTTTTGTATTCGTCTTATCCACGCTTGTGACTGGAGCCGCATTTTGGACCGGAGATACGTCCACCGATCGAAGCAATCTACCCTCACTGGCGTTTAGACCGACCAAGTTGAACGGCAGATTGTGCAAACACTGCTGAGTGTATGTCGGCGATGGGCATGCATTGTTGGGGCCAGATGGTGGGATTATTGATTGTTCGCGATTATACCTTTCTGTCGTTCCGGGTATTAAGCCCGCTGTCCTCGCAGTTTCCCTTGATTCTGTAAAACATGGATGCTTCTTATGTGTTCTTGAGTGCATCACATGTTCGTTCTGATATTTAGGGGCAGCTGGTAAGGATTCCGGTCGACTGGCACTATGACTGACTTCACTTTCGTTGATCCCAAAGGTTTGGTGCACAGGTGATTCTCGTTGGGATTTGTCAGTAATCTCAAGCTCGTCCGTGCTGGAACCCATCTGATTGTCCTAAAGTGATAAATATTCATCAGATGACAAGTGTGGTAGTCAGCTGGGAAACAGCTACTTGATGCAATATAGGTAATCACTTAGCAGAGGTATTTGTGTTCATGTGTGCAAGATACCTATTCCAAAGCCGAAGTCTACCTGAATCTCCCACCAGCCGAGGAAATGTGGCCCTGACTACTTTCTCGGGACTAGATAATGGTGCATACTTTAAATGCCATGCTTATTATCCACTAAAATATTTGGAGTTGTTATCATGAGCAACAGCGGTGGACGGAGGGGATTAATAATATGGTTTACAATAGACGTCATCCTTATCCTCGTTTAAGTGATGCTGCGCACTGATAATGGTGTTGTATCTTGTGGTAATTCAAATTTTATGAGGCTGTTGCGAAGTTGTTGTTGAAAAACCATTACTTTCACTAATTCCGCCAACGTTTCTATTTCATGCATTATAAACCACCCTTAAGGACTAACAATCAACGATACTTTGGCTCGTACATAGGTCGTTGGAAGTTGCCTGATATCCGTGTAGCCCATCACTCCGTCTGCTCACTACGTCCATTTTGAGAAGGCTGGATAAATCATGGCAGTTTGGTCAACTTGGGTAGAATGCCTACCCGTAGCAAGCCAAATTCTTGCAGCTCCATCCGGGTATTAGTACAGTACGGTTCGCGATGCACGATTCGAGCTTAGGACCACTTTGGGTCGGACTTCCGACAGCATTTCCTGCTTCTGACTGCGTGTATTCTTTGGTGTGGCAGAGTTTCTGCTACGAAAGTGCTCCGGTGTCTTGTCATATACTGAATTGGTCGCATGCTGGTGTGGTTGCTCGGACATATCCCCCGTATCGATCCGGCTAGAATACCGAAACACCTACTATATTGCCGACATTGTACCGGTAAGTGGAACAGTAGCAAAAGAAGGCGGACCCTGGAGTAAGCACTATGTGAGACGGTCACTGTCGCTGCTTTCAGTATACCGGACGTTGTGAGAAATGAATTCACTCTTTGGGTGCCTGAGCCCAGTGAACCTGGATACTTTGTACTGGTTATTCACGAAAGTGAAGGTGTAACCATTTTCCATTCATGACAATCACACGGATGGTCTAGGTTTCTTAACCTTCCAAGCAAAGTATTGTTTTGGATAGTGCATCTTCTTGAATTAACTAGTGTATGGAAATTACTGATCGTATCTTAAAAATAAGCAGCACTCTACATGGGAATAATCTCATTGCTTATCGTGAATGGCACGGAACTTTATGCACTTTTACGAGCAACTAGCCATGTGGGTGGATAAAATCACATTACTTAATGAAGATTGCCTATAGTCTACGGGAACGTGGAACCAGTGCTCTTATTTTCTTTGTTTGCTTTCGGGAGAACAAGCAATGCGCACCGATATTGCCCTCTATGCTTAGCTATTCTGTTTTCAAATAGTGCAACCATATAGTGAGAGCGGTGGAAACTTCCAAAATTCTCACCTTATTTCTCACAATTCGATTGATAGATGATACCGATGGAACATTCTCCAGAGTGCAAACGTGATCCTTGAGCAGTCGGTCGCGAATTTCCCAGGCGAACATAGTCGGACTGTCTTCTTTGTATTTACAAATAGCTTCCACCACGGATGGAGTTGCCACTTTGGGTTTCGAGCCGCCAATCACTCCCGGTCGAATGCTTCCAGTTTCGTAATATCTGTATGAATACAATAGTCGGGTATCCGGTAGTTACACCACCATTAGTGTCTGCCGCTATCGAACAACATAAAAACTAATGTTAAATTATTTCAACTTGCTAAAATACTCTAGTAAAGTATTATATAATGAGAGGCTAATATGCCATAACTGGCACTGTGCAGCAGTGTGGTTGCTGAAATTATTCCCGCTTCAGGAGTACTATTCCGCTTTTGCCACCTGCGGCCCAGCGCCCTGTTTCATCTCAGACGCTTGATGAGCGTTTGCACAAGCATAGTGACATGTGACTAACCGCTCGTTTCACCTGCAACAAATCTGACAGCAGCACTCTTAAATTACATTAAAAAGGTGGATTTTATTTGATATTATAATTTAAAATGTCCTTTTATTTGATCACTGTATTTTGCGACACTTCCTCTTAGCATTCCCTGTTCTGCTGTACGTTCGTTGCAGTAGTGCACTTTACGCATGTTGGATTCAACTGTCGTACATTATACGATCCCGTATTTGACAGTTCTGTCACGTGTCATCGCTTAAAAACAGGACCTGGGTTTCCAAAACCTCACACGCCTCAATGATGGATACCTTTTTAAATATCACACCATGGATTAAGGTGATTTAATGTATTTAAACACCAAGCATTTCACTGGATACTGCTTGTTATTTGTTGAGAACCCACTTTGACTATACAACGGGCGCTTCATTGTCATGCAGTTTGATTTCTCTCAGGTGAGAAGGGTTTAAGTGAACGGAATTCTAGTTAATTGTAAGCGGGAATCATCTTTTGTTGATAGGTACCAACAGCATGTCCATATTTGAAATTGTATCGCCAAAATAAGGCTGGATGTTAGACTTCCTAAGACTTCTATAAACTTGGTCCATTTCAACCGAGACTAAGGTTGTTAGTCAAATTCTGCTATTGAGACCATTGAGACTGATATTGACTTAGCATCTATAAGATGGCTACCATGGCTGTCAACATCGCCACTATCATAGGCATCATTCTCATGGTTATTCTCGTCGCTATGCCAATAGTTATCACCATCATATCCATTGTCATCGGATCGTCACGAGATTATCACCTCAATTGTCGTATTTATAGCTCATCAAAGTAGATTTTAGAATCCAGTCCCACAGGCGAAGTTGATATTTTACTGTCTTATTGAGGCACTTATGAACAAAAGCTTAGCTTCATTGCATACTTTGAATGCAAGTTGATAAAGAGTACAAACTACAGAAATTCGTGAGGACTAGACAAGTGTACAGTGGTCAATCGTACAGATACTGGACACACCAATGGGTTCACCAATCTCTGGACTGGTGGCCGAGGCAGTGATGCAAGCACTGGCACCAAAGGCACTGCCGATGGTGGAGCCCAAACTTTGTGTACGTTATGTGGACGATGCTTTTGTCATCCTCAAGCGTTCCAGACTACAAGAAATAAAGCAGCCGATCAATAATATTTTCTCTGGCATCCATTTCACCTAAGAGGAGACGAACAACGACCAGCTGCCATTCTTAGACGTGTTCGTGAAAAAACATGCTTCCGGGCCCTTAGAAAGAACAGTCTATCGAAAAGGGACGCACACTGATCAGATCTTAAACTATCGCAGTAACCATCCGGCCAATTACAAGCGCAGTTATGTGACGACACTTTTCAAACTGGCCCAAACACACTGTCGTATGGTGCAGCTGTGAAAGGCGGAGGAAGACCACCTATTTAACATGTTCCAGCGAAATTCGTACCCTAATAGACTTATTCTTCGCTGCCTGAAGTCGAAAAATCAACCAAAGCCGCTTCCACAAGCGCAACGGAAAGGAAACAATCGTCCTACCTTACATTCATGGAATTTCTGCAATGACAGACAAGTTTTTATTGACCGGATCAAAGTTGCATATGAAGCAACGGAAACTATTCGGAGTGAACTTTTCAAGGCAGAAAACCAACTGAGTAGAAAAGGAACATCAGATGTGATTTACAAAATTTTTCTGCAAAAATTGTGACAAGTACTACGTAGGTAAGACAGGGAGGAAACTTGGCACAAGACTGCATGAACACAGTGTGGCCATCCGCCGCCATGTCAGTACATATGGATGCCGAAGGCCATCAGTTCGATCTGGAAAACGCCAAGATAGTTGGAAGAGCAAAGAACCGCAGAGCGCGTGAGTTCATCGAAGCCTGGCATTCGGACCAGGACTCAGTCAACAAGCATCTAGAACTAGAGGGATCTACGAAGCTCTGTAGGTGAGGTCAAAAATAAGTACCAGCTCGACAAGGCGTAGACGTGACCATTTGGACGACCTACGTGAGCCAATCGAAAACACATTCAAAACAGGAGACGATCATCAGTCACTTGGATCTGGCAGAGGCTTATGTGACTCTGCAAATTGGACCTCTATAACCACACTGAGGATATTGCCCAGTTTGGCAACAAATCGTTTGTAACAAACTTGCCTAGCTAGGAGAACACATTAATCCTCTAATCTATTCACGTATGCTTTGATAAAAGAATGAAGCAGACAAGTATGGAGTCCTCAAAAATGATTTAACTTTAAGGAAACCACAGTGTGATTTGTTTTCTTATAATAATGTGTGCTTTAACTGTGTTTTCCATTATGTAAGCGCTCTGCTAGCATATTTGAAGCAGGATGTACATAAAAATAAATTAAGACTGTCGCATATACAACGCAGTTAATGCGCGCTGCGTATGTTGATTACCTCCTTTTGTTGATCATTTTGTTCCAGTCCCTTGAGTGGTCAGTCTACGGAGGTTTTGATTTATTTTATCTGTTATTTTCGCCTGCAAATTGGACTAACAAGCCTACTTATTCCCCCATTCTGCGGAACTAATATTGCCATGACGCACAGGACTGTCGCTTTTGACTCCTAAGCACGTCTATTTTCTTGCTGGGTGCAAATCGATTACTCGTTCTTGTAAATCTTCCGAGGCTAGTAATTCCGCACTATTTCGGAACCCGGAGCTAATAGTTTCGTTATCATTTCAAACCGGTAGTGCCTCACTTGTCTGCCTCTTTTATTTCCGAGAACCAGGGCAGACTTTTGGCTTTTCCAGTCTGACTATCCAAAAGCTTCAATAAATTGCTATAGTCCTACATTTTCTATTTCCATTGAATGATCAATACGGCAACGCGTGTTTAGAACACACTTTACCGATACGTAAGGTATTTCTTTGTTGCCCGGTATTGCAGCTCGCTTCTGTGTGGGAGGATTAGACCGGTTTTTAAATAAATAGATTTGTACCTTTGCCGATAAGCGGTATAAGCTACATAAACGGGAACATTCATTTGTACGGTGAATAGGTTTCATGGTTTATGTGACATAAATACATAATAGTAAAGTGAATTTAAATAAGAGCATTTCGGATCATGCATTTTCCCGGGAATCCTAGACCCTATCTCATGATGTGCAAAATGTATCGATGTTTTTATCATCACTTTCTGGTTTGTGAGGCTCAGTAGTAGATAATAATAGGAAATGGATAATAGATTGCACGGACCCAGGATTTGGCTTTGTGTGAAATGATATGGAGTGGGCAAGCTGATTGAACTATGAACAATGATTTATTACGGGATAAAAACAAGTGCTTGACACGTCCCGTAGGATGATTAGGGTGAATATGACGAAATCAAAATATATCTGAATCATCTACCGAACGTCTGTCTAGATGAATACTTCGATAAATTACATCAGCGTAAAATTTAAAGTAGAATCCAGCGTAAACCTTCAGAAATACACTGGGATGCAGTGATCGTTGATGTGAGACATGAGGAAAGTAAAATATGGTCACTCACTTGGGTCCTTTTGCTACCTAAATCCTATTGAAAAGCATGCTTGGCGTAATCCATAATAGAGGAGTTTAAGTAACAAAATGCTGGGAGCTAAGAGAAACATCTAATCGTTTTTTGAAAACGTCCAAGGTAGGAGAGGATACAACTGAGTCTGGGAATGCGTTCTAGGGTTGGCAAACCCGAAGGGAAAAGTAATTCCGTCGACACTCTAGACGGCTGTATTGTTCCTTCAACTTTAAGCAGTTACCCCTGAGCTGCGTGTTGTGGCTAAGTATCAGCAAATGCCGCATACGTGGTTGGGGTCACTCAATATTTGATCCGCTAATATGAGATCGACGCGCAGCCTTCAATGACGTCCGCTGAAAATTCACAGCAACTTCAGCCTTCCATGGTAAGAGTGATAGCGCAAGCCCTTTACATTCTTTGTTGCTCTTCGTTGTGGCGCCTCTATCGCTTCTAGGTCGCGCTTCAACCAAGGATGCTAAGCTTGGAGAGCGTATTCAACATGCGGGCGCACGTAGGAATTGTGCATCATTGGGAAGATTGATGGCTCAACTCTCCAAAATGCCCTACGCAGCATGCCGACGTGCTTGTTGCCTCTTTTCACAGCAATCTCAGCCTGTTTTGAACAGTTGAAGTCGCTCTGTACGATCACACCAAGGTCACGTTCCTAGAAGCTGGTCTACAATCCGCTTGTCCCAAGTAAATAGGTGTAGTTATGTCTGTGACGTAATTGTACAGCGCGGTTTTTGTGAACAATTAGCTGCTCATATGCTATTTATACCAGCTTCCGTCAATCATTTTATGGATTGTTTTGAGCCAAAGAAATTCAGCGCATTTGATACAGTAAGGAAAGTCTGTGGGGATTTTTGAAAATGACATGACTTGCACTCATGCGTATCTGTAGGGATAGTTTGTTTTACAGATTGGTGTATATCACTAGAAAGCAATTCGATCGAGTTTTATGACTTGCAAGCTTTGTGGATAGCAAGTAGCCGCCGTTTCGTGTAGGATAGACTGTAGTCTTCCACAACTCAAGTGTCATACTATCTGCGTAAATTCGTTGGTTAGTAATGTTGTAAAAGAGAACGAAATTGTTCTTTAATCGTCTCAACCAAAGTGGATCCATTTGGAGTTGTCGACAGCGATCAGAATAACTCGGGTTTGAGCGGCGCCCCGTGATCAGCTTTG